TCGCCGCCGACGACTGAAGGTGCGCCCAAACTCGCTGCGGCTGAAGCTCCACAGAGGCTGGCCTGGGCGCCGCCGTGCACACAGCTCCTTGAGCGCCTGGCCGCCCTCGCGGCTCCACGCCTGGTCGAGCAACAGCGCGCCCTCGGGGTGCAGCAACGGCGCCCGCCGGGCAATCCGCGCGCCCCCAGGCTCCACAACCCAGTCCGTGGTCATAGAGGTCAAGCCCCGCTGGCAGCCTGAGAAGCCCGCCCCGCGCCAGGAGGAGGGCGACCGCGAATTCGGCGTCGCCCTTCATCAAGCTGACGCCGAGGATCCTGAGCATCCACGGCTTCGCCAGGGGCAGCCGTGAGGCCGCGTGGCTGCGGCGGCGGAAGCCCGCCGGCGCGGCCCGGGGGCATCCCCGACGAGGCCTTCCCCAAGCTGGGGCGGCGGTGGTGGATGGCCGCCGGCACGCGGCTGCCCTTGGCGCCGGTGAACCCGCCCCAGTACAGGTGGCCCAGGTAATCCGCCACCAACACGCCCAGCTCGAGCACGTTCGGGCTGAGGAGGTCGCTCCGCCCGCACCACTGCACGAGAGCGTCGAACTCGCTGTCGAACACCTGCCGGGCGCGCTCCTGCACCTTGTGCAGGAAGGTGAGCCCACTCAAGACGCCCACTGACGGGGAGTCGCGACGCCTCTGGCGCTCCACCGCCCTCCTCGCTTGAAGCCGAGCAGCCTTCAGGTGGCCCCCCATTCCCCTCTTCGGCAGTCGAGAGGTCCGAGGAGCTGGAGGAGCCCGAGTCGGCGTAGGGCGGCCCGAGCCCACATGAGGTCGGCTCGGCGTAGGCAGTGACCCCGACGCCCTCAGGCACCTTGTCGGCCTCCCCGAACTCCTGCCCAGGCCCGACGCCGCCGAGCCCAGCGGGGCGCGCGAGAGCGGCCTCCTCGAGCTCCCGTTCCCAGGCATGCTCGATAATCCGCTGGTGCTCGCGGCTGTCGTCCGCGCGAGCATGGCGGGGGTCTGACCGTGGGTCCCGAGGGGCACGTCCGATGGTGCGGGAGAGCTCGTCCGCTGCGTCGTGTTCAGAGGCGATCCACCGAGCCGAGGTGGCCCCGTTGAAGAGGATGGAGAGAGCGGTGATCTCACGGACGGTCTCATTGACGAAGAGAGACGATGATCGACCCTTCTCCGCTGCCAAGGTCACGCCCATGTTGTCGCGCAAAATCAAGAATCGGGAGCCGCGGGCGGCGCGCTCTCGCAGGCGGTGTCGCACTGCAAGCACGAGAGCCCGTCCCTCAAGACGGAGAATATTCCCCCCGTGTCGCCATCGACCGAATAACAAATCCCCCCGCCCATCACTGGTCAAGAAGTCGGGGTCACCTGGCAGGAAGTCACCGCCCCTCGACGAGCCCGTGGCGCGGGCCCTTCGGCGGTGCGACTGGGCCTTGCCAGTCTCGACCTCCAAACCCAGTGCGAGGGCGCGTGCTTGAACAGCGCCCTCAGTGGCATACCTCCAGCGCTCAGAACGGGCCATGGTGGCCCAGACACTCCCCACGTCCCACTGCTTCTCCGCGGCACCGTAGCCGCCGAACCCTGAGGCGTGCTCAGCACCTTCACGCGTAGAGGCGCCGGAGACCAGCACTCCGGGGTCGACGGTCCGCTTCGCATCGTAGAAGGCGCACGCGATGAGTGCTGAAGCCGCCCGTAGTTCCGTGACCACACCCTTCCATCGGCGTCGGCGGCGAGGACCTGCCCAATCGGCGAACTTGTAGCTCATGGTGAGGATGGGCAGCAACCCTCTCCGCAAGAGGGCCGCCCACGTGTAGTGGGCCAATACCTGCAACATCTCATCCCCGCCGCCGTGCCCGCGGTCGGCCAACTCGCGAAGGCCTAGCCGCAGACTCCACAGGCGAGCGGGGCTGAGACTGATGGTGGCCGTCTCCTGATCGAAGGTGAACCCAGTGAACTTCTGAGAGGCCTTGGGGGCCTCGATCCCCTTGCAGACCAAGTGATCGTCCATGAGCTGCTTCTCGACGCTCTGCGCGCCCTTGACGACCGCCGAGTGGCAGCCCCCCGCCACGGCGACCCCGCCCACGTAGGAGGCCGCGGCCGCCTCGGAGGACAGGTATGGGATCACCTTGCCGTCGGCGATCTGCCTGTCTACTCCGAAGCCAGCCTGAGCCACGTGGGCCTCCGCGAGCGACTGGCAGAAGTACAAGCTCCAGCTCCGGCCCATGGGGAGTACCAACAGACGGGGGGCCAGCTCCACGCCGTCGAAGTCGATGTCGGGCCTCGCGGCGAGCAGATCCCGGCGGCGGATGCGAAGCAAAATCATCATCTCCTCTAGCCCAGGTGGGCACTGGATGCGATAGAAAGCGGCCTCGATGTCCACCTGCGCGAGGCGCAGCTGGCGCGTGGGCTGGATGCGAAGACTCCGCCAGCACCCAGCACTCGGCAGGTTGACCGTGTCAGGCTCAGTGAACTCTTAATTAATCATACGCGCGCCCAGGATCAAACGTAGGCGGTTCCCATCCTTGGGAACGAAAAGCAGACCACTCGCATGCTTCTTGCGGCTACCAAAACGTATCATGCCAACATCGTAGAGACGACCCAAAAACTTTCCTTACAGCTGATGGCCCTGTCGAAGCTGTCGGTCAAAGTAAGGTCGCGCGAGCTCCCGAGGTTCCCCAGGATCGCGCAAAAGATGCTCTTGCCAGCGATGCCACAACTCATGGGGCCGTCCCGATAGCGAGTCCAAAGCGTTGCTTTTGAACCGATCCGTCGGGAGCGACACCAGACCTTCGGCGCACATCACTGACTTCACAGGCGAGGTGTCGCAGCCTGGAGAAATGCTGCGCAGCCCCCGAAGGACCGCCGCAGAGGTGCAAGTAGGGGGCCCAAGCCCGCGAATTCGAAATTGAAGATGCCCCAGCCCAGTTCGATGAGCTTGAGAAAGAATACCACATGTGCTAGCGCCGCCCTGGCAGCAGAGCCAGTTGAGCGCGGCGGCCGGACCCCGCACCCAGAGGTCGCAGAAGTAGCCCCGACGCCCCTTCGACCGTCGATGTCGAGTCGAAGGCGCTGGCTATGTAGAAGCCTGGGAAGAGAGTAAATGAACAGGTGCTGGGAGCAGCTCACGAGGAACAGGCGTCCCGCGGCAGCTCGCCCGCTGAGGCGCGGGGCGAGCCAAGGGGGTGAGGCTCCCTCCGTCATGGCCCCGCCTTGGGCCCCTGGCCTCGGCCCTCCCCCTTGGTGCCTGGGGAGGACGACGGGCCAGTGGCCTGCTCCTTCAGCTTCTTGTTCTCAGCGGTCAGGCGATCGATCTTGCTCTGGACGTCTGCAGTCAGGCCTCCACGGCCTGCGCCACCTCCATGAGCGTCACGAGCACGATTGGACTGGCGTTCCTCTCGTATCTTGCGGCGCCCCTTCAACATGGTAGCCTCCTTGTGTAATTCCTCCGAAACATGAAACGTCAATGATGGTGATATCATGAGCATGCCTCTGGTCTCTGACGTGCCAAGGTAGGGATATTCGTCCTCGTCAACATCTCCTCCCAGAGCAGCTCTTCCTCGCGATCCCAAGATACGATCTTTCGGCCTATACTCGGCGAGCTGGGCGCGTCGCAGCACCAGTTCGAATGCCGCCAACTCGGATATATTTAGTTGGTCGTATTGAACAACCAGTTGCACCATTCTCATGCAGAACTCATGTTCGGCCACCGTGGGGTCAGCCGAAGTGATATTGACCTCTGACCGCCACTTCGCATGACGTGAGCGTGGGGCAATGTCTTGCTCGCTGGTGAACTTCGCGCACCAGAGAGCCGTTCGTGGTCCCTGCAAGGGCCACTTCTTCCACTCTGTAGTGGACATCTGACGTGTAGCTGCACGAAACGGAAGATGACGGCCTCCATCCACATCCTCCACGACTGCCAAAACTCTTGCATCAAGGTCTGGGTCGTCGCCGCTGGAGGTCTTCGCGGTGAAGGTCTGCTCGCCCTTCTTGCAGAAGGCGAGACCTGAGCAGAAAAGGCCGTAGTCCACCGTCAACTCCTGCATCACCGAGCGCCCTGCGCCGTCGGAGGAGCCGACCTGCACCCACTTGTCGGGCAAGGGGTTGGGCAACCCAGCGGTGACCTCCACCCACTCATTCGGAGTCCGAGAAGCCAAACGCGGTCCTCGACCCGCTGGCCTCCTCAACACCGGGCACTGGTCCCGAATGCTGACGCCGAAGTCCTCGCCCGTCACGAACTCCAGCGCGCCCAAGTAGTCCCTCGCGGAGAGCTCCCACTGTCGGCCATAGACTTGGGGATTGCCGCGGGGTAGTCGGGCGCCCAGTCCTTGGGCTCGATCGGGCTGGCCCCTCACGTCGCAGGGCACCACCCCCGTCAGAGCTGGCGGCACCAGGCAATGCGGGCAGACGTCCCCGTCGGGCGTGATGGCGTCCCATATCAAGCCCTTCTCCTCGGCGCCGTCGGGCGCTTCCTCGCCCGCGTAGTCCTTGTAGTACTCTGTCGTCGTCAGTGGAGCTATCAGCACTCGAGCTTGCCAGGGTTCGTTGGCGCGCCATTGCACGAGCACGCGCTGGCCGCTCGCGGGATCCAGCTCCCCCGCCGCGGGCCCCGCAGCAGCGACAGCAGCCATGGACACCGTAGCCGACGAACACGCCCACTATGAAGATCAGTCCGAAGGCGAATCGAAGTGAGCCTGCGAACTGTGCTGCCACCAGGCACGCCCCTGCCTGCGAGGAAAGCCAGCTGAAGTCTGGCAGCAGATGGGATCCTCCTGCAGCGAGGCGCGCGAAAATCAACGCAAAGGACATGGGCCGCCCCAATTCATGCACTTGAGCGCGGCATGAGCCCAGGCGGCCACGGACGGGCAAAGCTGACCAAGAGGATGAGAACACACATCGGACAATATATGTGTGTATGTCTGTGTACGTATACACATACTCGTGCGTATGTTCAAATCTGTATGTGTAATTGCACGCACATATCCCCCATCCCCACAATCGAGAAACGTCCTCCGGGTCTGCGGAACTCTGCTCGCTGACTGCGGCAGTTTCTTCCGCAGGGCCAGCTGCGTGACTTCCGACAGCTTGGTGCACGGGCGCTTCAACCTTCAAATGGCCAGGGAGTGAATAATTCGGGCCTCTTCACGCCTTCCCTCTGCCCATGTAGCGATGTCTCGTACTGCCCACCTCTACCGTTCAGTACATTCCACATCGGCGTAACATTGAATACAGCAGGCGTTTCAGTGATCCTGTTGCAGAACACATGCCCACAGGCCTGAGAACTCTCAGGCTTGATGTTTTGCTTCATCTTCCCGCTGCTGCTGTCGCTTCCTCCGCTCGATACCCCTCCTCCTCCTCATCTTCCCCCACCCCTCCTGCTGAAGGGCGTCACTCCCTCTGCTCAAGAGACGAATACAACTCTCATCTTCAGGAAGAGCCTTCATTGCGGCCAGCGCACGAGAGCGTGCGTGCAGTGGTCCTGCACGGCCGGCCAGGGAGGGCAAGTGCACCTTCTCCGGAATGGCGTCCTGCTCCGAGCTGGAGTCAGAGGCAGAAGGACATGATGAGCAGGGGGACAGGCACTAGGATTCAGGGACGATGAGAAGAGATCGGACAAGAGCAATCAGCTACTGCAGAAGAGATCAGACCACAACAACCAGCTACCTTCGGAGACTCGCTCGCGGCTCAGGACATGGTACAGACGGGTAGCTTATTTCAACTCATCGGCATGTATGGGGAATTCTTGCAATCCGTGCTGGTTGAGGGGGCACATTCGAAACATGCAAAGTTCGGATGACTTCTTCATGGTTCTGCGAGCCCTGGCCCAGCTGGTTGGCTCCCTCAGAGTGTGGCCCATTCACAGTGACACGAACGCCGCGGAGCGGCTCTGCCATGTGAAGAGCGGATCGGGTCAAAGCCTCTGGGCCTCGTTAGTAGTAGCCGCGGTCTGAACGAGCGTATCCAGAGAGGAACGTTAGACTAGTAATGTACGATGACGATTCAGAAAAGAAGGTAATGGTAGCGATTAACACAATAGTTTCTGAGTCTTCGGGTTCCGCTTCGCTTCGGCTTCGTCTGGCCCTTTGACTGTCCAGGCGCGCGCCAATGAGGGCGGGAGGGAGCGACTAAACAAATGGATTCCTGGCCTGGGGCCTGCTTTTTTCTAATCATCATCCTGGGCGCCGCCGCGTGAACACGATCCCCGGTGAAATCCTGATCATCATCCTGCATGACCGTCCCCGTCGCAGCAAGCGCCGCAGTGGTAGGCAAGGAACATGTGGGCAAACCGCCCCGAAGCAAGACGGCGGCCACGCGTGGACAGGACAAGCGCGCTGTGCCTCGATGGCTCGCGTGCCAGGTCGGGCAAGGAATGCGGGCGTGATGCGCAAAATGGGCGATACATGCGCTTATCGGGGAGACGTAAGACTCGGGTTCGGGAATCGCGGGTTGGCCTTGCGGAGCCATCATGAAAATCACGAGGCCCAACCTGAGATTTGATTTGACGCGAGTTCCAGCTGCAAACAGCCCACGAAAACTGGACCCTCAAAATCCAGGACGCGCTCGTCAAAAAGTGCCGGCACACCCGAATTCCAGCGCACTCGGGTCTAAGATTTCCCCGATCTTAAAAAGGAGCAGCCCATGCTTGTTTGCTGCTCGCTTCGAACATAAGAGCCGACAGGCGCAGGCTTGCTCTTCCAGCCCACGCGGCGCTCGCCGCGCGCCTGCGAGGTCGCCCAAGCAACCACATCGACTGGGGTGAACGCTCCAGGTGGACATCACGGCATACCAACAACATCAGCATTATGTAACAAATGTCATCGCGATGAGGACTATTTCGCCGCGTAGCCTAGGAAACTGCAACGGCCCTGCTGGATCTAGGCAACTTCTGAGGTTAGCGGCACGTGGAGGAGCCCAACGACGAGATGAACTATGCTTGCCAAAAGCCTGCCTGAACACTGTCGAAAACGATTCGCGGCAGAGTTCTTCGAAAAACAACGTTGGGCAAAATGATTGGGAGGAGAGCACGAAATGGAGCTGGAGAAGCGCAGGCACGACAAACCCGAATGCCAATTCCCAATAAACCGCTGCCGATTGCACCTCTCATTGCATTGACATCGCCACTTTCCTCTGGCAGGTTGTCTCTTCAACGAGTTACGACCAGGACCCGCTGAGCTCGCAGAGGTTGCGTCCCTGATCCTCCCCTGCTTTCGTCTCGCCAGGAAACTTGTGCGGCAATTCGTGGGAGCCTCCCATGCCATGTTGCTCGCTGTTGCGAATCGACGCTAATCGACGCGAGTCGACTATAGATCGGGGCTACCTCAACGATTATCCGACGCTAGCGCATGCTGATGCACCGTAAGGACATAATTTCTAGGACACATAGAACTGCCATGAGTTGCTACCGAGGGAACCCTGAGTCCTTGGCTGCTGGTGCGCCCAAGAGGCCAGCGAAGCGCGGCTCGGCGAGCAGCACCGGCCTGAGAGCAGCGACGCCCGCCCCTGCCTCACCAGAGGGGCTCTCGAGGCGAGTTCTGCATTGCTGCTCGGCTCTCACGTTCTTTCGCCGCTCCTGGCTCTGACATCCCATCTGCAACTCCCGACACGGTGAACATGTATTTTTGTTTATGATCTTTCCGCGTCCGAAGACTTGCATGCACACAAGAGTTCACGCAGGTGGCCCTAGCGCTCGCTCTCGGCGGGTCACCACAACCCCGCCTGTTAGCGCGCACTCTGGTGGCCCTGGCATACTGGACGGGTCGCCACATCCCCGTCCAGGAGAGAACAGATTCGGGCCTTACCTCTCCCGTGCTGCTCTGGTTGCCCACTCGGCCCTGTACTGGACTGCCCTGTGGCCACGCTCGATCGCCTCCTCAGGCGACGCGAAGCCATGTGACGCCAACACTCCGTCTCGCCGCGGGGCGGGGACGAGGGGGGAGGTGAGCCAACTGCATCTGCGGCGCCTGCGGCGGCCGCCAGCCGACTTGACGACTGCAGGCCTGCCGTGACACCCAGGGCGCTAGCCCACAGCACACGGGTCTGGACCGAAGGCGGCACCAGCGCACTGAGCTGCCGCTTGCCACCTACTGGAACTATTCCCCTCGTGATGTGATGTCGTTGCGAGCCTGGGCCCTTCAACCCTTCTTGGAGCGAGCTTCGGTTTCAGTGCAGGGCTTGGCCAGCCCGCGGAAAGCATAACGCGGCTGCCAGCAGTACATGTAGCAACGAGTGCACACCAGCAAAACCTGGGACGCTTGCCCGAGCACGTGCGCTTGCATGAGGAGGTGACCGTGGACCGACCAGGGCCCGTCGAAAACCGCGGTCCCGCTGGGGAGCGGCGACGCCGCGGCCGCGGAGGAGGAGGAGGCAGACAAGCAGGGAGGAGCCTCCTGACCAGGCTGCAGCACATGGGCGTCGAAGCTAGGCAGGGACACGGCGGCCGCAAGACGCCTGCGGGCAGACGCACGGGTCCTGCAGAGCGTGCCTCACCCACTGCAGTGTCTCCCGTACTCGCACACGCCGCTGCCCCATCCGCCGCAGCCAAGGCGCCAGCGGCGGCGGCCGAGGCCCCTGGCCGACCCCCAGCCGAGGACTCTCCCCCAACAACAGGGTTCTGCTGCAGGTAGGGCTCAAGCTCGACGTCCTCAAGCGATTAAAAAGGCCAGGCATCACGCACCCCAGAGTTGGTGATGTGCACCTCCATCTCCGCAGCGAACCTGGCGGCGTCCCCGGCTCTGGCGAGGCCACCGTCCAGCAAGAGCATTCGGTCGTCCGCTGGCGCCTGAAGCTTGGCCCTCTCCTTGGCCCGAGCGTCCGCCAGCCCGTTGCCGTGCAGCTCCAGCATGCTGAGCTCTCCTCGCCTGACCGCTGCCTCCACACGGTACACGGTGTGCGGGGATGTGCTTGACGGCGACCCCTTCAGCAACGTCAGTCACTCTGGACCGAAGGTGCGCATTGAGGGTTAAGGAACCACTGGAATCGGAATCTAGGGTCTGGAAGCCGGTGAAACACCAACTGCGGCTTGGCCATGAGTATCACTGCCGACCTCATCAGATCAGGAATTCTCCAGGGTCTAAAGCCTCCTGGGCATAATCCTTAATGAACACCCCCACCGTAGCTCCCCGAGCTCATGGGGCCCGACAGTAAGCCCAAACACAAGTCAAAGCATGACTTCCTTGACCCCTAAGGCGCCTCAGTGCCGATGCGGCCAGGGGACGAGGCTGCACATGGCGCGATCAATATAAGAGTGGCTGCTCTGCGGCGGCATCACATCACTGGAGTAATACGCACACGCAACTCTTACCCACCTGCGTGGCGTTGCCAGCAACCCCCTGTCGATCTCTACCGGCACATGGTAACGTACATTGCACAACGCCCTGTGAATTTGAGATCCAGCTGGCATCGGAACCTCTGGACATGGACGGCAGCCAAAGCGAGCCGTGCAAAATGAAAAGCCTATGCTGAAAACGCCACCTCTAGGGAGTATCAGCAGAGGGAGGAGGGGGCAGGAACCAGGAGGAGCACAAACACACGCACACACACAAACACACACACACACACGCACACGCACACACACTTCCTCCGGCGCGCCAAAGGGACCAGTCAGCGGAAAACCTAGCAGTGGGGAGGCCAGCGACCAGAATCACATCAGCCCTCTGGGCGTAGGTGGTTCAACGGCTTAGTTATTACAACCTCCTCCTTCTCCTTCGGGAGAGGTTTACTTCTCTCCCATACCCCCTCTCTCTGGGTCTGGGCTCCAACACGCCGAGGAGGCCTCAAAACACCCAAGAAAGCCTCAAGACGGCCCAGGAAGCCTCCAAAACGCCCCGAGGGAACTAACTCCAGCAGGACCACCGAGCGGAACCTAAGATGCCACAATCTTCCCAATTCCATCGGGACATGCTCATGTTTAGCATATACGCCCTGTTGGTTTCAACAGCGTCCAGAATGGCCCGAGAGGGCCCAAAGGTCGCACCAAGACGGCCCAAGAGGCCCCCAAGAGGGGCCCAAGACGGCCCCGAGACTGTCCAAGAGGCGCCAAAAACGACCCAAGAGGGTCCCAAGAAGGCCACAAGGAGGCCCCAAGAGGGAAAGTCGAACTGAAATTGCGAGCCCTCCGCCCCAAGAGGAGACCTGGAACCGCCAGCATACGCCCAATAGGCCACCAAGAAGCTCCAAGAGGCCCCCAAGAGGCCCATCAGAGGCTCCGAGAGGCCCCCAAACGGTCCCGAAGAGGCCTCAGAACTGCCTCCAAGAGGCTCCCCAGAGGCGTCCCGAGAGAACCTCCGTGGCGCCCAAGGAGCCTACGACCCACAGGCCAGGCACGGTGGCGGGATGCGCCGAGGGCCTTCTGGGCTGCCGACAAAAGCTTCAAGCAGGCTCAAAGGAATGGCGAAACGTTGACTCCCTGATAACAACAGAAAATCTGATTGAGAGACTTATCACTTAAGAAATCTGGGACAGCTTGCCGGAAGTTTCTGAAGACAAGCCCACATGTTCGGTTTAACGCTGGAGGGGCGAACGCGCTCTAGAAACTAGGCCAGCTTTCAGGCAAGTTGGTTAAGAAACGCTGGCCCAGCTTTTCGGGAGGTTTCTTAATCAGACGCTCGAATGTACCTCTTCTGGAGGTCGGCGGAATGGTAGAAGCCTCTTGCATCAATGTGTGTTCCCTGCTCGCCTTTGCGCTTCCGATGGTCCCCTGACACCTCGAACACACGGCTCCAAGAGCTCCAAGACAGCCCCAAGAGCGCCCCAAGATGCGCCCCAAGATGAAATGTGTCTGCCTCCGACGGGGGGTCTTAATTGCTGACCCCTTCTCTAACCGATGGCCTGGAAGGTGGCCCCAAGAGTCTCCAAGACCCCCACGAGGGCCTGATCCCAACCTTCGGGTTGACGATTGTCCCCCCTCTTTGTTCCACGGCATGCTCCCTGATCAATGCAACTCACCCAGGCATCGTTGCCAGATGGGCCGTGGGTGCACTTTTTTTTACAGCCGCAGGCGGAAGCGACCGGCGGCGAGGGGTGCCGTGGGTGCACGCGAAGCGTCAAGAACCTGATTATTTGTGACGTGCGCGGCAGGACTGACACTCTCGAAAGCGCACAGTGGCGAAGCCGCAGCAGAAGGACCAAACCTTCCTCATCGCACGCAATGCTGCGGAGACGGCCCTGTAGCTCGCGCGCGTGCCGTTCGAATCACGAGCCCGGTGAAAAGAGAACGAGAAACAGAACCGCAACCCCAATCGAGAGGGGGGAAGGCCGATGCAGCACTGTGCAGCGCTGTACCGCCCGGACCGAAGCAGCGACACCAGAGTGCCGCAGCATATCACCAGCTGGGACGTCAACTGCACGTGACGTCTGGCCATCCCCTAACACCAGGTGGTGCAGGACAGGGAAACTGAACGCCGAGATAGCAGAGGCGGGAACAACGGCGGAGGCAGGGAATAATATAATGAAGCGCAAGTAGTACACCGGAGAGCATCAGGGCCCCCTGAACGGGGGGCATAACCAGCTAGGGAGCTCTGGCTTCTCCATATGCCCCCGACTGTGGAGCCCTGGGCTTCCTGAACAAGAGCACGACCAAACGTTGAGATCGGCATTCCCCGTGCCCCCGATACCTGTGGCCCTGTCCCCGGCGCCCTTGGAGCACCAACCGCCGACACGACCGGGGAGGCCACGAGGCGAGGCGACGCGTCGGGGGGGGGGCCACCGCCGAGCGGCGCCGAGTGGCGCCAATCGGTCGAGCGGCCGTGGCGCAGAGACCGGGCGGGCAGGCAAGAAGGGGCCCCGACAAGCTGGCAGGCGGGCACGGGGAGAGAGGGGGGCGAAAGGAAACACAGAGCGCTTGTCGCTCGCTGGGAGGAGGAAGGCGCGCGACCACTGAACCTCACCTGACTCGGCCTCGACCGCTGTGCGAAGGAGGGCCGACCTGCGCTAGCTAAGCAAACTCAGGCAATGAACCGTGGCCTGAAAGGGGAACGAGCATGCTGCTTGCGTTCGCCCGCCCTGCCCGCCCTGCCAAATGCCTCCCTCCTCTCCTCCTCGCGAAAGGGAAGATGCAGATCGCAGAAGAGGGCGCAAGGAGGCGCCACCAGCAGGCCAGGAGAGGGCGGGCGATGGCGACTGACGGCCAGAGGACCGAAACCGAGCAGGCGCGGAAGAGAAGGGCAGATGGCCGGTCGAAAAGAGGACGTGCGAGACGGAGTGGCGGCTGGGCAGCCTGGCGGCACCCGCCGCGGCCAGCAGCGGTAAGCTGCACCACGATACCAGGCGGGCCATGCCAGGTGAGCGTAGCGACAAACGCCAGACGGCCAAGGGGCACGGCAGAAGGGAAGGGGCCAGAGAGCACACACACACACACGCACACACACGCACGCACACTTTGTTCCAACGAGGCACACACACTCTCACGTTCAAGAAACACGCGCACTCGCACACAGAAGCACACACACAAACACTCAACGTCTGCAGCGTGGTGCGCAGC